GAAACTTGACGGAACTGAAGCGACACTACATGGACATTAAAAATCAATAGTTGGCAGACCGTAGCGACTAATTGGATCCATTTGAGGAAGCTTGTTGAGATGGCCTGTGATAGGCTGTAGTGAAACTGAGGAAGAAGATATAAGATAAAAATATATACAGCAAACATATGATTTTAACTGGCAATAGCCCCTTTTATCCTTCATTTCAAATTAGGTTTTTCTCCTTTCTGTCCTGAAAATAGTAATTATTTATAATATATCAATCTAATTTGTGCCGTTCCAGAATTTATCAGAATCATACATCTTACATACTGCTGCAATGCAGATAGCCAGTCACTGAATAAGATTCCAGTTGAAACCAAAACCTTTTGACACTCTGCTATGCTTCTCAATCTGGTGCATGTTTTTCCACTTGCTTGTTTTGAATTAACACTTGCAACTCACTTCTCTGTATCATTCATTGTCTGAAAATGTGCTAAGCATCCAAAATTGTGGGATGCATATTTCACCTATAATGAATGATATATGATTCAGAATATGTGTCTTGTCCAGAAAAAAAATTATGGCGCACCGATGGCTAAGTTTGTCTGCAAGTTTCATTCTTCTACTCTGCAATTATGCCAGCACCATCTACAACCATCAGCCATAATTATAAAGTTTTTAAGTCTTCTGTTTCTCCGTATTATAAATTATTACACTTAACACACATATACACACACATAATATTATGTGTAAAGATAGAGTATGTTGTACATATATATATATATATATGTAAAGATAGAGTATGTTGAGGGAGTGCTGAATCAAAGCAGAAGCTCTGTTTTTACCTCTGTTATTTGTTTCTTTTACCTTCCTCACTTCCTCATATAAGAAATATAAACTTTGAAGGCTCTCACCTTATAATTTTTTCATATAATTATTTTATTTTTCTTTATATATAAATGGAGTGTAATTAATTTTTTTTTTTTTTTTAAATAAATGGAATGTTTAGAGCAGTTCAAAAGGCCAGTTGCCTTTAAACAAGGAAAAGCAAATCCAAACATCAGTCAGTTTTAAGTGGATTTGCCTAACAGATGGAAATGTTTGTATTAGAGAAAGCTGTGGGGTCTTCTAGTTTTGTGTAAAATAAGATTAGAAATATAACACCAACAGTAAAAACCATAATTTTAGTAGTACTGTTATAAAATTTATGGTGTTTAAAATATAAGTTATAATACTGAAAATTAGTTATGTTTTAAAAATTTTGAAATTTATTATGATTATTCAAAATAAGAAATAGAGGGGAAACACACTCTTATTTCTCAAGATTTATTCTAGTTGAAAAAACATTAAGATAACAGAAATTATATTTGTCAAATATATTTTATTAATATGATATTGTACACCTCTTTATAAAATCCCACCAAATTTTGAAGATACATCCTGTGTAGCAGTGCATTTTTTCAGTACTTTACTGAATTTTTTTATATAATACTAAGTAAATAGATTTCTTATGTCTGCACAAACAGTGTATCATACAACATCTGTATTGCACATCTGCCAAAACAGATATGTGTTACACGAATACCTGGGTTGCCACATAAAAATTTTTCGTGACATCATAGGTTGCCATATACCTGTGTTAGTGACATACTGCTTTGCTTCATGCATACTTTTTCGTGACTTCATAGTGGAAGTGTAGTTAATCAGCAAGTACCGAATCTTTTCATTTTACTACATAACAAGAAGTTACAAAATTGGTCTTTTTTTACTAAAACTTAGTTTTTTTTAAAAAATACTTGTGGATTATCTTGTACTTGGAACTAATATAGGTAGGTGCCAAGGTAACTTTGCCAAGGTGATCTCAATGTCAGCTTCTATTTCTGCATTTGTGATATTATTCAGCTTTCTCACTTGGCCACTGGTGGTAGTTGAAAATGGTATTATTTACTGATCAGCCTTAGATCATTTGGTTTGAGTATAAAAAAGTACTTTAGTAACATTTTGCTTCCTAGATAATGAGATGGACATTATCAAATATTTTAGTAAGAGATTTATTTCAGATTTTTTAAATTGATGTTTCAAATTTATTAAATGATCTAGAAATGACAGAGAGTATCACTAAACCGTAGCTAAATGTGTGTAGCTTTAAATTCAACATTTTGTTTATTTCATGGTTCTGTTTTCAATTGCTAAAAATGTATATTTTTAAAAAATAATTTTAATTGTTTCATGTTTACAGTTTAATTAATTTTTGAGTGATTTTCCCCTCCCCGTTTTTAAGTTAGCTGTTAATTTGAAAATACAGTCAAATACCAAAAAATCCACTGACCTGAAATCCATACATCTCAAAATTTAAACATTCTGTGTATAGGTTCAGGATAGCACAACATGGAGAACAATATACTGAAAAGAAAAATTCTTACCAAATAATGGGGGTCGTAACAGAAATAACTACCAAATCATTGACATTATTTTTTCCCCCTCCTATCTGCATCAAGGTAAAGAAGCAGATGATTTCACTCAACTTCTCTTTCAAATTCACTACTCATTACAGTGGTGGGTAAGAAATTTGTTCATGATTTTACTGCTTGCAACATTCACAAACGTAAATCTTGCTTTGATGGTAGTGCAAAATGCAAAAAATGGAAGGAGGTGCTACTTTTGAGTTTATAGAATAATTGTATAGAATTATGACAGACTGTATAAGATATATGGAAAAATTAAGAAACACTGTTGAAATTATACAGCAACTTCGATTTTAACACTGGAGTCCCAAACCGGAAATTTTTGTACAATGTACAAGGCGAAATTGGCAAGCTTCGATTATGTCTTGTACGAGTGGTTCCGGCAGTGCCAGAGTGATGGGGTACCAATTTCATAACTGCTGCTGAGAGAAAAGGGAAAATAGATTCAGGGTGATTTAAAAATAGAGGAGATGTGCAATTTCAGGAGCGGTTGGCTGAGCTAATTAAAGCAGAGACATGGTATACGTTATCTGAAACCATGTGGGGAAAAACCTGTGGGCAAATATAGATGCTGCAGAGGAATTTATTGATGAATTTTCTGGGCCAATGGCAGAAGCAGATTTTTAATATGGAGACTGCAATTTTTTGGCAGTGTTTGCCAAGAGAGATATTTGTGACAAGTGAAGAAAGTGTGCCATCGGGAGGGTGGGAAGAAGCTAAAGAAAGAAGTACTATTTTAGTATGCAGTTAAAACTTATAAATGTAAACTAAGGGTAGTGGGTAAGAACACAAATCCCAGAGTTCTTAAAGGAGTAAAATATTTGTGATTTGTAGAAATAATAAAAATTCCTGGTTCATGAAACAACTTATGACCAAATGTTTCATGGAGCATTTTTGTTAAAGAGGCTAGAAGGCATTGTAACAATGTGGGGTTACCATCCAATTGCAAGATTTTACTGTTGCTAGACAAAGGCTGTGCACATCCAGATGCAACCGCTTTAACTTGTGATTATGCCGGGGCCCTTGTTTTGCTCCCAAATACTATATCATTGAACTAGCCAATGGATCAGGGCATAATATACAGTATTAAATGTCATTACAAATTGGCGTTTCTGAAGAAAATTCTTTCGAGAGACCATTCAATTTCACTTTGTGATTCTAACAAAATTTCGCCATCAAAGACTGCATTTATTTGTTAGAAGAATCTTCTATTTCTCTAACAACACTAGTAAATGGCTGGTGTACCGTATGCCTTGTTCATTGAAACTGAGAGTGATGACCGTGAATTTTCTGGTTTAAGGGTCAATGTAGCAAAGGTTAAAGTAAGAGACTAGCTTTTGTATTTGGAAGAAGAACAAATGAGCAGGCTTTGTAAGAAGATATCATTGAATGGATAATGTGTTGAGAATGTGGCAGCACTGGCATATCAGACGACCAATGATGAAATTATCAGCTCTGTTTTGAACTTAATGGGGGGGGGGAAAAGATTTTTTTTTTTGATATAGTGAATTGATGAGTGAGAAAATATCTTATAGTGAAGGTTTGGAATATGGTATAAAATAGCTAAATTTTTTTAGAACAACAGAGCTGTGTCACAGAAAAGAGATCATGACTCTATATAATTTATACGCACGGGGGGGGACACCCTCTTGAAAAAAGTTTAAAACATTAAAAACTTGCACTTTTAGTCTAAATATTATGATTTATTTTTTCTGCACTGAAATCTGCATAACCTGTGGTTTCAAGTATTGCAGATTTCTGGTCTACTGTATTATCTATGCATGAAATAAGAAAATGTGATCTAAAATGTTTTATTTTTTATAATTATTATATCTGAAATTTAATAAAAATTAAATTTAAAAAGTTAGTATTCACTCTAAATTATGTTGTATTCTTATTACTCCAAAGGGGCAATTTGACCAGATGGACTATTAATTTCATTTTGGCATTTTGCGTTGCTTCACTAAAAGCATTATTTCACTTTTCAACTGTTGCCACCAAATATTATCACTCTGTATTGCATTTAAAGAAATTAAATAATGAAGAATCTGCGTAAATGTATGTATCATTCTCCCATTGTCATAAAACAATGGTACCTAGAGCCATCAAATTTTGAATATTGAACGTTTCCACCTGAATATGTGCATCTGGAAGTCCAAATTTTAAATTTGGAATTTGTTTTCTTATCGATTTCATATTTTGTAAAACTGTAGCGAATTTTTGATTAACAAACTCAAGGATTTGAAAGCAAGCAATGACAACGTTGTACAGAAAACATTTTTATCTCCAGCACGTGAGACTTTATCGGAAATTCTAAAGGATATGATCATTTTAAAATTATTTTGGGATACTGCTCTTGAACTGGATTTTATGGTTTAAGTGCGAAGAACATGATATTTAATAAATAAAGGTAACATGCAAAATTTAAAAAAAAATGCCCCTTTGGATGTAATTTAAAATCTGAAACCTTTCAGATTTTATTATTGTTTATGTTTTTTTTATATGCTATTAATTCATGATAATTTCTTTAAATTTATTGATGACAATAAACAGATGTTATCAAAGTTAAAAAGAAAAAGAAGAAGAAAAACAATCGTTTGGGCTTAGAAAAAGATGTTTCGGTTAGTGATTTATTTCTATTTTATTTTTTCCTGTTATATAATTTTTTAGAGTTCATATTATTTATTTTGCTTATAAAATGTTTTATATTTTTCTTCTGTTTTTTTGTATCGTTATTTAGATTGTTAATGATGTAATTGGTGAAGAACTGGAATATGATGCCGCTATGACTTTTCAACAAATGAACCTTTCACGACCATTACAGAAAGTAATATTTTTTATTTCCTAGAAATTTGTTATAGGTTTCTTTATGTATTTTTGATTTTTGAGTATTTTTTTTCAGATTTTTTAAAAAATATTTATTAGTTGTATTTAAGTAAAACAGCAAAGTTTTGCTTTGTGGAAATAATTTTGTAAGGTCACCTGCAGAAATTATTTTTTTTAATCAATGTTTTATTTGATCTAATTTTCTTTGTTTTGTTTAGGCTGTGTTTTTCTTAATACAATGAAGAAATTTAAGTATTTTCAATTAGTGGTAAAATCTTGTTAGAAACCTGTGAAAGAGCAGATTTTGTCAATTTATGGAACATAAGATACCTTGATTTCCAGTATTATGAAAATGCATTTCTTGTCAGTGTAAGAATGTGAATCACTTAAAAGACATTTTACCTGTATTTTTTCATAACATTTTGCAAGAAGCATTATTTTATATTATAAATATTATAAATAACATACATTTTTAATACAATAGTGCCTCGCACATTGGACACAGTCTGTTTCAGGATGGCATTTGTTATGCAAGCTGTTGGTGATGAAGTTGTTCTTTCTTATAAGTTACTGTGGGAATAATTTTAATTATGCAGTCATAACTAATTTATTAGTTATTATTACATACTCTGTAATCTGCCTAGTCATGCAATGGAATTGGATCATTAAGGCATTTGTCTGTTTTAGTTACTTATCTGTAATTTTGGGGGAAGGTCCACTGTTTCATGAAGTTGTCTATAGTTTTTCATTCTTTAGAATAGTCTCGAAGTTGTATAGTGAACAAATCGTCACTCTGTTCACCTCAAACTGATTAGGATGCCACTGCTTGGCTAAGGGCTGCACCTCTTGCTGCTTCTTCAGAAGGTCCTTAATGACTATAGAAGACATGGACCTTTTTCTCTTTGTTGTGCAAAACTTGTTCAAAAATAGCTTGCAACTTTTCTGCAATATATTGCCCACCAGCGGCCGAGCGGTAAAGTCGCTGAACACTGGTAGTTCGGTCCGAGGTTCGAATCCCGCGAACGGGCTGGCTGCATGGGCGTTTTCGTGGTTTTCCCCATGTGTAACGTGTATACGAGCCAGTTTCCCTTAGAAAGTCCTCCACGAAAGGCATCCCTCCCTTTAGGGAGATAGCCCTCGAGGCTTTGCAACAATCACACACACACACAATTCTGCAATATATTATTAATAATTATGTGTATGTATCTAATTGCTCTTCTCTTTATATATCTATATGTGTTTGTGTGTGTGTATTCTGTCTTTATTGCAGTCTAAAGAGAAAATAAAACAAATTTAGCTCCTTATTTAATATTTTGTTATGTGTGTACTTGTAATAGATAGAATAAACCAAGAACCAATCATAGCTTGATAAAATTTATTTTACAAGCTTGATAAAATACACTTTACATTTCTGGAACTTTCCATAAAAGTGTTCATACAGCTCTTTCTCAGTGTCACAGAGCACAATCAGTAGTTACTCTTTAAACTACTAAGAATGTTAAACACAATGTAATGTAATGCTCGCCTAAAAGGCAAAGCTGTCATGGATATCTCGATACTCCGAATTAAGTTTGAACCAACAACTTAGAAACAATTTCTCTCTCTAGTCTTACATAATTTTCTCCCAGGCACTGAGAAATCTTTAATTTCAGATTACAAATTAGGGCTTCCTGATGCCCATATTCAGTGGATGATTGGGTTATTCAAAATTTGATATCTCTAGTTACCGTTGTTTTATCACAAAGTGAGAAACATACATACAGTCATGCGGATTTTTCATTATTTAATTTCTTTAAATATAACACAGGCCAATTGTCATATCCTTCTTTTTCTTGGGCGTGTAGCTTCTGGATATGTATTTCCTTCCTACCGTAGACGTATCATATTGTGTGCGTTGCATAAAACAGCCATTTTAACGGCACAACACTTTATTAACACACAAATAAAAATAATAAGTACAAACGAGTAACACACAAGTAATACTTCGAACTGACATACAACACGTTTCCTTTGTTACTTCGCTACTACCTACTAACTACTCTTTTCTAGTAAGTCTCATGAGAGAGAGGCGTTGCAGGCCGTTCGGCTAAACTGCGCATGCGTGGTCATCACGTCATGACACCTCCCCTCGAAAAGATTTGATTGCGTCTTTCAATGACCTGTCAAATCCACATATATAAACATTTCTTGAAACAAAATAAAATAACATCCATGAAATTTTAGAACTTAATTAACCAATTCTTACCATTTTAAATTAAAATTACTTCAACATAAATTCAGTAATCCTATTCATTTAAAAAGATGTAACATTCAATTAACATTTCAAACTTAAATCCTTCACATAATCATAATCATATAAGCAATTGTCATATAAACGAGACAATACAAATCAGTCATTAACATTAAACATAATACTTTAGCAAACCCTAGCTAAATCTTTAAACACATTACCTAACGTTAGAAAAAAAATTAGCATTTTAGCAACAAAAAAAAAAAAAAAAAAAAAAAAAAAAAAAAAAAAATCAAACTAAACAGTCAAAATGTCTTATAGTTCATAGTTCATAACATAAGTCATGCTTCACTCACTGGGAAATATAATCATGTCATTTTAAGTCACGTCATCAATAAACTCAGCATGGTCTCTTTGTCTACACATAATGTTACTGTTCCATTTTGTTAATGCATAAATTACTGGATGCACATATTCACTTTCTGATTCAACGATTAGCTTTAGCTGTAAAAGTTTATCTACTTGACGATCAGCTTCATTTCTTAGAACTTCAGGTATTCGATACGGTTTCTGCTTTCCTGGCATACTTCCAGGTTTCAGTTTGATGCTGTGTTCTCCCACATTGGCGATTTTCGGAATACCAGTTCTTAGGTTCTTATGCCTTCTTAAAATTTCCTTAAGTTCTTTCTTCTTGATGCAGTTCAAGGTGTGTAAAATCACATTCCTCATTAGAATAGTGTTTTTTTTGCTTTCCGTGGAACAATTCTTGGAACGTTTTCAACTTCGCCGAAATCAATATCTGTATCATATATCACACCGACATTATTCACAGCGGTATTGAACTCTCGTATCTTGTTTGCGTGAACGTGCTTCGATGAATTGTCAGGCATTTGTACTATGTAACTATAATCAGTATGCTTTTTGATGATCGTAGCAGGTCCCGTCCATCTGGCATAAACTTTGTTTTGGACTATCAGGGATTAAAACTATAACCCTGTCACCTTCCTTGAATTCTTTATGACGAGTCTTTCGGTTACGGTAGAATGCATAAGCTTGTTGCTTTCCAACATCTGTAAGTCCTGCGTATTCAGCAGCTTTTTCCAATTTCGTCTTCAAATCATTCAGATAATCGGTAACTGAACTTAACTGTCCATGAGGAACAGGAGTTTCATTAGTCCATGACGATTTCAAAATAGACAACGGGGCCATTAGGACGTCTTCCATAAAGCATTTGGAACGGACTAACACCAGTCGTAGCATTAGGAACTTCACGGTAAGCCCAAAGTAAATACGGTAGATGTTTCTCCCAATCTTTCGAATGTTCTCTAACGGTATGATGTATCATTCCCTTTAAAACAGCATTAAATCTTTCTACCAGGCCATTTGAACTTGGATGATAAGGAGTCGAGAACCTTGGGGACGATCCGATCCTTTTCAAAAACTCTTGGGTCAACGAAGCAGTAAAATTAGTTCCTTGATCTGAAGCAACAATTTGAGGAATTCCTGTGCGTGAAAAGATTTGCAACAATGCATCGCATGTTGCTTTGGCATTCAAATTCTTCAATGGCACCGCTTCGGGCCACCTTGTACATTGATCAACAGCACACAGAACATATTTGTAACCTCTACAGCTTGGCTCTACAGGTCCTAGGATATCCACATTAATTACCTGGAATGGTTCTTTAGGACGTGTTACTGGCGTAATCGGAACTTCATCAAAGGGACGCTTTTTCGCTTGAAGTTGACAAGAAGTACAAGCACTGCAGTATTCATTTACATCTTTCTTGATTTCAGGGCCAATAGAACGAATATCTCAAACGTTCGGCTGTCTTCTTGGTTCGCAGGTGGCTTCCCCATAAGCTAGAATGAGCTAAGTCCAAAATTTGTTTTCTTCTTTCTTTAGGAACGACCAACTGGTAAACTCTTTCTCCTAAAACTTTATCTTTATGATACAAAAAGTTGTCAATAACAAGTAAAGTTATTACTTCCGTTCTTAGCATTTTGCCAGCATGTTTTTAAAGATGGGTCATTCATTTGTTGCACTCGAAACATTTCTGAATCCGAAACACATTGATCGTGTCCCGTGCTACCTTTGGAATCATCCTTACCTGTATCTTCATATACAAGAGCACAACATTCTATTATCTTCTTAACAGTTTCATTACATTTTTCATTAATTAGGTTTTCCCTATCATGGTTAAGTATTTCGTCAAAATTTTCAGTTTCATGAAAAGGCATTTCACCGAAACTATCAGTAGCAATGTTTACATTTTACATTCAAAATTAAACTTTCTTTTATCATCTCCCCTTAACTCATTAAAAGCACTTAACGACAAGAGTAAATCATTACATAACTTATCCACCATTGCACATGTTATAAAAATAGGTGACATAAATTTCATCATTTTCAGAATATATTACTAAAGGTAGGTTAATGAGAGGAGCTTTTAAAGCTTGCCCGAAAGCTGACGTGAGGATAACACTTCCATGTGGCGTACGGTATTTTTCTGGTACAATGTCGGTCTTGACAACGGTTAATTGCGTGCCTGTATCTGCTACTGCATTAATTAATTTACCATCACATATAAGTTTAACGGTTGGCAAGTCATCTATTAATTCTTTAACCTCTTGATTCGCAGTAAAATATTTAGAAGAAATCTTTGCAGTTACGGCGTTAGAATTATTCTTAATTTCTTCTTTAGCAACCCTTTCCTTATCTTCATGCAACAATATATTATGATACTTAGAATTACATTTTGAACATTTTAATT